CTTCGCGGCGGGCCGTACATACAACGTGGCTGGCTCGGTCGGCTCGCGCGCGCTCTCTTTCCGTGCTCACCCCCACTTGACGACGCTGATGTGTGTGCGCGTGCGAATACGTTACGTACTAACGTAACGGCGTATATACGTATAGATGTATGTACGTATATACGCGCGTACGCCGTGCGGCACGGCGCAGCGCGGCGCGAAGATGGCATCCGAAGAGCGACGCCGCGCGCGATGAGCTTTTTTGTGCCATGCACGGAGGAGAGATCGCCCTCGATGGCGATGGCGACCGCGTTGCCGCCCCGCTACCGTCATAGGTCGTCGACGACGGCGGAGACGCGGCTACCATCGCCACCCCGCGTTCTGCCGAAATTACCGGAATTACCGCCACGGAAATCATCGCCTCTCTCGACGAAGCGACTCGTTTCGGATTTTCCAACGGGAGATTATGATGCACGTCTGCGGCGCGGGTTAGATCGTGCGATGCGACGAGAACGATGGCAATTGAATAAAATCCACGTGCCAAAGTCGTGGCCGCATTGTACGATTTGTCGTAAAGGAGAATCGCTTCAGGCCGCTTTTGCTTCGGCGGCGGCGCAACCGTGCGCACCGCGTGCCTTGGATGGTTTCACGCGTAAAATTCAACAAAATGGCCATCTCTATTGTTCGTCTGCTTACCTGCTTAGCTACAAATCACGCGGATGCGGAGAGGACTACCAGTGCGACGTCTATTACGTTAACAGATTCACAACGGAGTGGATGAAAATACTCAGTACCGCAAACCTCGGACCACACACTTTCGAGCGGACGGCTCGCGGAGACCTTCGAACATGAAAAAGGAAAGATTGGTCACCGCGGACGACTATCGTTGTAGGATAAAGGCGGAAACGCAAACTTTTGCATTAATAGATCTATTCGCATTGCTTGTACTTTTTGCACTCGGCATCTACGCTTTCTTTTGTTTCGATATTCGTATAATATATATTTAGGTCTGTTTGCGTTACTTGTACTTTTTGCACTTGGCATTCCTTGCTTTCTCTCTCCTTAACATCCGAATGTATTATATTTAGCTTCTTTTAAATGCAAAAATTTGGAAAGATATCGAACAACGCAAACAGATCTTTTAGGACTGTTCAGTTTAATTGAAATTTTGCATTTTTTTTACATCTATAAAAATTTCGGATTAATAAACAATTTTTTCTCAAACTATATAAATAGTTATATTTATATGCTGGAAAAATTAATATTATATATTAATGAATATCGAACAATTATTTATTAATAATAAATTTCGTTTTATACGTACAGAAATTCAATTTCGATAATCTTGTATTTAACTTATATGTGCAATATAAATAGTAATGCATCCCAATAATTTTGATTGGTTGATCCTCATTCTATTACTTTTCCAAGTTTCCATTTTTCGAAATTCCGACTGTCATGGGACAATTAAGACCCTTAAGTCTTAAGGCCGATCTACAATTGCGTAAAAGTTGTAAGAGGCTCCGCACAATAAAAGGAATAGAGAACAGAGAACAAAGAATAAGAATTTCAACCTATCAGAAATCATGTATTGTGGAACACATAATTTCTGATAGATTGAAATTCTTATTCTCTGTTCCTGTTATTGTGCGGAGCCTCTAAGAATTGACTAATCGCACTTGAATACGAAGAGAATATCCAACTTATTTCCTGCACACTGGACGTAGAAATACTTGCCGCGCGGCAAAATGACGTAGTACCAATGAACACATTAGGAGCTGTAAACTTATTGGCCGCATCACATTTTGCATTAAGCATTTCTAATATGCAGAAGCCATTACATTTACGCGGTACTCTTAATCGGGTTTGATAACCGTAATTATAAAATTGATCAATCACAATCGTTCCATTCTTCCGAGGAACAGCTATGATTGGCCAATTTCATAATTATGAATGTATTAAGCATGTCATGTAACAGATTATGATTTGTCAATTTCTTATGGCTTAAGGCTTAAAAATCTATTATAGATCCGACATTATGCAAAAGTCCGTGTTGCGATTTTAAGTATAAAAGAAACATATATAAAAAAATTTTACAACCCAGCAAATGAGAATGGATTAAAATGGATTGAAATTTTTCTCTATCCGAATGCGTATTTTAAATAACGAATACTTATTTTTGGATTTAATTGAATTCAATTAGATTCAATTAGATGCAATTGGATTGAAAAATTGCATTTTCTATTCAAAATTTTGAATTGAACAGTATTCACAATGTATGTACGTGTGTGTGTGTGTGTGTGTGTGTATGTGTGTGTGTGTGTGTGTGTGTTGTGCACAGAAAAAGCTAATATTACTTTTAGATTAAAAGACATAGAGATATGCTCCATGCAATTCTTATAAACGAATAAAAATGCATTCAGGATTGAAAAGCATTCATTTTAACATTCGTGAATCAATATTTCTGAAAATCTGAATTCATTTCGATTCATTTCAATCCATTCTTGTTTGTTGGGAATTGATTTTCACTACGTAATATTGTAAATATATGATTTTTTTCTACCTATTGAAAATAAATAATTAAAACTTGAAATTATTTAATGAAATATTTAAGTTTTTTTTTTATATTCTATTATCTTCTCGCTGAATAAAACATCAGTAATTATATATATCTATTGTATGTATAATTATTAAATAATTATATATTAATCATTCTAACTTTTCTTCTTTCTTTCAAACTATCTATTTGAATATTTATTGTTTGAAAGAGGCTAGGATGGAGAAGAAGCACAATAAAGATAACTTTTTCTATGCTGATACACTTTTGTATTTCATATATAATTCTAAATATTTTATAGAACATCGGATAACCTGTGTATTATCATTTGTTGTACTAGTTTAACAAAATAATTCTAAACATGCTTATTATTGAACATATGTATATCTATACTTCATTATCTCATACGTTCTCAATGTTATTGGAAATGACTAACACGTTTAACTTATTTTAAGTTGAATCTCGGTTAAAACTTAATTACGAGTTATTATGAAACTGGACTTAAATGAATTCTATATAACTGTCAGTTAATTTAACCGAGGTTGGTGAAAATCGAGACCCTAACTTTTCATCTTTTTCTAGTTTAAGAATTAAGAATAAAGAATCTAGTGTAAGAATAAGAAAAAGATGAAGAATAAATTGAACGAGAAGTTAATTTACATAAAATAAAGTTAATTTACATAAAAAGAAACGGGCACAAATTGGTTAGTACGTGTATCAAATTGCGAAACTAAAGACCATCGCATATACAAAAATTTTATGCTTGTTCTACAATAGGGTGGCAAGTTGTAAGCTGTAAGAAATTAGCCAATCATAGTTAAATATGAAAAAAATAATCGACTGTGATTGAAATTTCTTACTGCTTACGGCTTGCGACCCTATTGTAGAACAGACTTTAGTAGTAATCATAATACCATCGTAAAACAAATCGGCCAATCACAATCGAGTGTTTTAAAACGTGAGATTGCAATTTTGATTATGATTGGTCAATTTGTTTAAGACCATCGGCCTAGATCTTTTATTTCAAAAACAATAGCAAAGCTAAAATCTAAAAGGCTAATTATTCTAACATTTTCAGATATCAATATATAATTATGAATTAAATGAATTGTATACAGTTGATCATATTCAAAAATATATTTAATAAATTTAATTGATCAAAAGGAAAAATTCTACGAATGTAATAATCAATTGATATAACTGGTCCTGATTACGTCCTTAACATTAGAAAGCTGATGAATCCAATGACTGCGTGATTAAGGACTTTTCTTTTTTTTTCTTTATTTAATTAACCGAAACGAATGTGCGCAAATAAAGGAAATCGCTAGGAGATACAATATGTACATATTTCTCACAGTTGTGATATTGTTCGCAAGTCAGAATCAATAAGGGACTGCGCACAATCAAAGGAATAAGGAACAGGAAGCAAAGAATAAAAATTTCAACCTATCAGAAACTATGTATTCAATACATGATACAATTTCATAGGTTGAAATTTTTAGGTCGGTATTCATAGTCAGATCTTATATTCAATCGTTTCAAGTACAGTCTTAAGAAGTCACAAACCAAAGAACCGTATTAGAATATTACTTAAGACAATCTTGAAATAAAAACGGACTATGAATACCACTCTTATTCTCTATTCCTTATTCCTTTGATTGTGACTCCTAAAACTATTCGATAGCGGATATGTTTACAATTATCCTTTCATTACAAATGTACCGAAATATTCATTTGGAATGTTATAACTTTCCGAGTTTTACATAATAAAAATAATAAAAATAATTATATAGCTATAAAAGATATAAGTAAATTAAAATGAAAGCTTTTTAAAATGTACATAATAGATATTCTGATTAAAAATAACAATGAAAGAAATAGAAGAGCTCAAGAGAATAAGCGCTGTTCAGAATGCTGCTAGTTGTTAAAAAAAAAAATCTCTTAATATACAAGTTAAATTTATTGAAGAATGATAGAACAATAATCGTCTATTCTTCAAAAAGTGTCCTCGTACGATCGATTCGATTTTAATATCTGTATACATTATAATGGAGTATACACATTTGTTGCTATATCAATTTAACTCACCGAGATTCTCGTTGAGATTCTTGAACAAATAAAAATTAGCAAAACTGATAAAAAAAAATAGCAAAAAAAATTAACAATACTGATAGTATGATTTCTAGATAGATTTGTTGAAATCAAATTACATTAGGATATGAGAAAAACATTAGGATAGTATTTAAGAAAATAGTTTGATCCTCAATGAACTTTGTCATAATCACATAGAGATAACAATTCAAAATAATTAAAAGAGATTAAAGTTAATTATAAAAATCAAAATTATAAAAGAATAAAATTTATATATTCAATAATACGGTGCACTGCCGAAACATTAATGTCGACCAAAACTGAACAGTGATTAATTTTATTAAAGTTAATTACCGATCATACGAGAGACTTTGGAATCATACAATGAATTCGGGAGAATAATTTTTACTTAGTACAGTACCTCAACCAGGCAAAAAAAAAAAGAACAAATCTTCAATCTTTTATCTGCGAGTTTATCCTCCAGTTCTGGCTATCATTAGTTCAAATTGATAATGTCATTCACTGTGACAACTGTATGAATTCGTTCAGATTGCTGCCTGTCAATTTCTACATCTCCAATACGTTGTCTGATGCCTCAAAAATCGAAGTGATCTCAGAGAGATCCTGATTATCTAAGTGATAGTGTTGGAGTCAGATTGACGTTCCTCTTGTACGACGATGATCTGCGAAGGCTTTTTCATCTCAGGAGCTAACTTGATCTCCTAAATGATATTGACCTCCATCGCTGGGTCAATCTTTCATTTCATGTAAGATGAGGCCGCGATATCAGAATTTGGGTGAAATTGTTCAGAACCTTCTTCTGTGATTCCTTTTACACTGTTAAATCGATTAGTATGCGTATCTCAAATTGAACGAACTATTTGATACGTCCTTATTTAAAGTAGCGAGTTTAACATACGAGTCAAGTATTTACAGCGCATGAGATTTTTTGATACATGTACCAGTTTGGTCTCGCGATTCGGGAGTATCAGACAAGAGCCCACTGAAGTAATTCTCCAGTATTTATATTGAGAGTATCAAGTAATTTAGTACGTGTAGTACTAAGTATTACCACTATCAGTATTCGGTGTAAACTAAACTTGTATCTTCTACGTTGTCGATAGTCTTGAAAATTTTATACAATTCTGGACTCACCTCTTTCATCTTTGATGTATCGCTAGACTTATAATAATAATGATCACGTAATACTTGTTTGAATAATTTGGTACTCGAGATCATTGGATCCTTTTTCGAAGATATATCACTTGATATGATATTACTGCTGCTCATCATCGTACTTTGAATTTTTTTCTGAACATTTTCCAACATTTCTTCCTCTTTTTTTTCACTCTTCTTTTCCTATTGAAATCAAATTTCTCTTTGTTGCTTCTATGTCATCGTTGTACTTCCTTATCGCATATGTTGTTTTCGTTTCACAAATATTCTCTTGAATGGTAGCTGCTGTTCATCTTCAGACTCATCATGTCCAGTAATATTTCGTTAATCACCATTATATTTTTTCGTTTGCGACTCCTTAATTTTAAATATCTACTATTTCCGCTACGTCTCCAATTGCTTCAGCTTCTACATAAATTATTTCCTGATCCTGACCCAGGGTGATCAATTGCTTGTTTTCCAAAGTATCCGAACTTTCTAGTGTATCATTGCTGGATAACGTTGAAGTCGTCACCTCGAACTTTTCGTGCGCTGTATCTTCTGTTTTTTGACGTTGTTTTGCGGATTGCAATAGCGCTTGTACCATATTCTGATTCTTATCGAGCGGTAGCTTCCTTACTACTCGCTTCACTACATCGTCAGACGATACTTTTGTCAGTTCTGCAGAATCTATCGTAGTTCCGTCTGGATTCATAACTTCATGAACAACATCATTCTTTCGGATAATTCTACTGACAATAATTCGCTTGATCTTACGCGAGCCGGGAGAACCGTTCAGAGAAGAATCTTCATCCTTGATACCAGATAAATTAGTTGATGTTTCTTCGTTACTTCCTCCTGTCGGTTTCCTCACCACAATTCTTTTAATTCTTTTAATTTTGATGGTGTTCGGAGTGGATGCTAAGATCTTTGATTTATCGTTGTCCTTGCTATTTTCTTGAGAAGAACTCTGGACTCTCGTCACAGATGTTAGCGATTCCTTAGATTGATCTTGATTGTTCTGTTGGTGCTTCAACGGGGTCTTCTTTTTGGATGCTGAGGTGATGATCTGTAACTCGTCATCCACGCTTTTGGGAATCTTTTCGATTTGCGATGACATGAGGCCTTTTAAGCTGCTCTGAGAAGGAGAATCGATTGAAATAGTTTGCTTCGTACTCTTGAATATTTCTTCCTGCTCTTGAATATCGTGTATACGCTCGATGGGTGGGAATGTCGTGATTTTGACCATGCTACCATTTTTACTACGTACGTACATCACATTGGGTCCTTCCTTTTCTTGTTTCTCGGAATTCTCTTTCTTATCTTTTCTGGCCTGCTCTTCTTTCTTCTCACTCTGTGAGGGCATTGACGGCTTTGGTAACTTCTTCACAACGTACCTTGGCGACTCGTGATCATTCCTATTAGAATGCTGATATTTTTCTTTTTCTTTCGTCTTATTAGACTTTAATTTAAGATTTTTCTTAATATTGGGCTGTAAACTTTCAGGGTCCATTTTCTCGCCCGCTTCGATATGCTGTTTGATGTGAATGACATAATCAGCGCGATTACGACAAGATTCTTGACAGACATCGCAGGTGAGGCACATGTATGTACGTTTCGCGTGCATCAACTGATTCATTTTTAAGCTCTTCTTGCCGTTCTTGTATACACGGCGCTTCTCCTTTGAATGGGACATACGCATGTGTCTAGTTAAATGATGCGATAGTAGAAATGTGCGAGGACACAATTTACACATATACGGTCGAGGACCAGCATGGGTAATCAGATGTCGGGCCAGCTTTGTGCAAGTACGGAAAGTATCCTTACAGTAATCACATACGAATTTTTCATCCTTATTATTATGTAGCGTCTCGTGCCGTTGCAGACCCTGTTTGTATAGGAAGCGCTTTTTGCAAATGTTACACTGGAACGGCTTCTCTTTCTTGTGTGCCGAGTTCTTATGCTCTTCGAGTTCCTCTGTAGTGAAAAATTCATTGTCGCAATGGGAACAGGCGTAGTGCGTCTCATCTTTATGTACCTTCTTGTGACGTTGCAGCGAAGTCAGCCGCGAGAACTGCTTCTCACAGATCGAGCATGAATGCGGCTTCTCCTGCGAATGTATACTTAAGTGCTTGACCAGATCGTGTTTGTTGAAAAAGTTTTTTTCGCACTCGTTGCACTTGTAATTGCGAGCGCGAACATGAATGCGCTGAACATGCAGCAGCAGAGCCTGACGTAATGCGAACGTACGTTCACATTGATCGCATGCGTGTACTTTGACCTCTGCTGGCTCGTATTCTCTGTTTTCATTAATGTTACTCGCTTCCTGATTACTCTCACTGTCTCTGTTCTGCTCGTTCTCTGTTTCCTCGTAAAGATGCTGCTCGCTGATATTCTGGTTTTCATTTTGTGATTCTCTTTCCCTCTCTTTCTCCCTTCTTCTGGTCTCACGTCTCTCTCTTATATTTCTGCTATCATCATCAGAGGTGCGTTGCTTTTTCGAAACCTCGTTCTGTGATTCGGCTGGTCTTTTATTGCCGATCTCCGTCAATGGATTGATACGAAGGGGGAAAGGTTTCGGTAATTTTCCAGACAGAAGGCAATCTCTTAATGCCTCGTCAGCTTTCTTGCACTGCAACTTGAATTTATAAAAGTAGTCCAGATTCCAGCGGCACGTATTACAGATCACCTGCGGCATCTCGTCCTCGATATAGACCTATTAAGAAATAAAATAGTTTATTACGAATAAGCTTACCTATTGACGATTTGGAAAAGTCTCTTCTCAGTATTGGACGAACATTCTTGAAAAATATTGTATACGAAAATATTTAAAAAATTTATAATTATGTTGACCATATGTCCTTTATTGTAAAGGACATATTTAACAATTAATGATAAATTTTATCATTTTAATAATATTACAGGAAATTCCATTCTACTTAGACATCTCCAATAACTAATATACATGTAAGAAAAAATAAAATAAACTTTCTCTTATTTAAACCGTTTATCTATTAAAATAAACCATCATCATGCTCAAAAATTCTAACTCCAAATGAAAAACTCTAGATGAAAGAGAAAAAAATCAGGCGAAAATGCAAATTAAACATCCTCTCTCGGCGGAATCGCAACGTCATGATCGGCCAGCAATATCACTGCTTATACTAACAATCATTAGAGGCTTTTTACAATAAGTCATTTAGTTCAAGTTACTTAACTTTAAAGCTTAAGTTATAAGAAATTGACTCATAATCGATTATTTTTCTTACATTCGACTGTGATTGATTAATTTCTTATGACTTAAAACTTAAAACTTAGATAACGACTTATTGTAGTAAACTTATTAAGGCTGCTTTGTATAAACTTTGCACAATGCATAAGACTTAAAGCATAAGAGAATTAACTAAAATATGAAATGAAGGATTAGTTGTTTCTCTTATGTCTTATGCAGCATTGTGCAAAAGTATGTGTTTATGCTGTGGTTCTTACCCGCGAGGAGAATACCTCCGATGAGATACCTCCGGTGATTAGTATCATTGGCTGCGTTCAGCAGAGAAAAAATTAATCAATTAGCGCTTAATGATTTTTTAATATGATTGGTTCCTACACTTGAATCCAACGAAGAACTAAAGACAAGAACCAATCATATTAAAGAATCATTAAGTACTGATTAATTTTCTCTGCTGAACGCAGCCATTGACTACTTAAATATCATTCAAAGACATAGAACACGGATTGCGCCATCCCTATCTAAATAGCTAATGTAGCTAATATAGTCAACAAAAATAAAAAGGAGCATGAAAACAGCCAATCTTTCTTTCTTTCTAATATTATATAATATTAATATAATAATATTATACCATTGAATAGAAAAAGATAGAAACTGGCTCTTTTCATTCTATCTCTCACATTTTTATAGATCAAAATGTAAATACAAATTGCACGGTCCATGCTCTGTAGATGGTATTCATAGTTCATTCTTATTTTAAGATTGTCTTAAGTAATACCATAAGATCCTAATACAGTCCTTTGACTAGTATTCATAGTCAGTTCTAATTTTAAATAATGTCTCAAGATATCAATAGTGTTTTTTTCATTGGCAGTACTAGTGTGTATTCAATGCACTTTAAAGCTATTGTATATAAACCAACATAAAGATGTATATAAGCTTGTGTTTGACTCATCTTCATTTGTATTTACATATCCGAGCAAGAAAAATCATATTAAGATGTTTAATAAAAATATAAAACGAATTAAACCAT